ATACCATCAGAAACCATGATATAAATAAAAAATATATAATACAAGAAATTCATTTTTATATATTTATATATATATTTTTAATATTTTGAACAAATAATTTAATAATATCTATCTTTATTTAAAAATATTGATAATAACTTGTTTGTAATATATATATATATATATATATATATATATATATATATATATATATATATATAATTATTATCGATCGATAACTTTTTTCTAATATTTCAAAAACCGTCCAATCAATTCACACAAAATTTTCACAACAATGTTGGCAACACTGACCTGCGCAATCACTGAAATTTTCGTACTGATCTGCGCAATGTAAACAAACTGGCGCCATATTTGTTATCAACACGGTGATTTGAGCGTGCCAAATTATTAGAAAAGTGTAAGAATTTAGTGAAAAGGGCCGTAAAAGCATTTAAGTGATGCTGAAAAGAAAACTATCACCTCAGAACTCTCAAAAGGTAAATCTACCTATAAATTTCTAAAATGATAGGGAGGTGTCATCAAACAGTGAAAAAGTTCACCACCGACCCTACACAAGTACACAAAATTACAGATAAAAGGCAAGCCGAGGGTTATTTCACGTTGTCTCATGTCACGACTTAAACGAGAGGCCACGAATAACCCTGGACTTACCAGTCAAGAGCTTTTCAGTTGCATTGGGGATCCTACTGTGTCTAAAAGTACTCGGTATCAGTATTTGTGGGAAATAGCAACAACAGTCAAACCTGTATCGAAGCCTCCGTTAACAAGAAATCACATTCAAAATTGATTGAAATGGGCCGAGGACAATATGAAGATAGACTTCTCTAAAGTTTTGTTCACAGACAAAACTCGAGCAACACTTGATGGGCCAGATAGATGATGCAAAGGCTGGGTAATGAACGGACAGAATCGCCATCAGCGTTTGAGACGCCAATAAGGCAGTGGAGGCATAATGATCTGTGGTGGTATCATTGGAAAAACATTAGTGGGCCCATGGAGAGTACCAGATTGCATCAAAATGAATGCTGATGCATACATAGCATTTATGAAGAAGCATCTTGAACCGTGGATGAAAAGGCAAAAGAGTTGCCTTCAGAAGGGCCATTGTTTTTATGCAAGATAATGCTCCCTCACATGCTGCTCAAAAGACTACTGAATATTTGAAACAGTTAGGCTTCAACGGAGGACCTCGAAAAAATGAAGTGGCCAGCAAATTCTCTCCGGATTTGAACCCAATCGAAAACCTTTGGAGCATCATGAAGCAAGACTGTACGCAAACGGATGACAATTCAGGAACAATGCTGAGTTGTGGGAAGCAATTCTTGACATATCTCGCGGCATTACAGCAGATGACATCCTACAATTAACAAATTCTATAGATTGTCGACTTCTTCAAGTAATTTCAAAATAGGGAAAATACATTCCCTATTAATTTGTTTAAAACTGTGCCTTTGTTTGTATCTGTTATTATTTGTTTGATTATCTTATTTATTAGCTTCTTTTGATCATAAACATTCACTTTCAACATTAATAAACGTTTTGTTTGCTCAATTCTGGGAATTTTACTAAACCTTTCTAATAATTTGGCACGCTCAAATCACCGTGCTAATAACAAATATGGCGCCAGTTGGTTTACATTGCGCAGATCAGTACGAAAACATTGTGTGAAAATTTTGTGTGAATTGATTGCCAACATTTGTGAAAATTTTAGAATTGAAAGATTATTTTTGATAATATTAGAAAAAAGTTATCTCGATAATAATTTGGCAATGTAATTTAAAAGATATTGGCCCTAGAAGCATATTTGTTTAACATCTTATATACAGGCCTGGATTAACCATTAGGCAAACTAAGCATCTGCTTAGGGCACCAAGTGGTAAAGGGTCACTACAAAAATTTGAGTTGGGTATTATGGGAGTAGGGGGCATGGGGAACCAAATTTTTTTGTGAAAATTGCACAGTAACTGTTGCACAAAACAATTTTTAGAACTAGTTTCTAAGTTACAGTATACTTTGTGAATGAAACCCTATGCAACATAAAATTTCATATCACTTATCTACAGGCTTTTTTTTTTCACTGTGCATAAATATCATTAAGTTCTAGGTGATTCTAGAATTAGAACTGTTTATGTTTTACCTATTCTGTTTACACCCTTCTTTATTTAAAAAAAAATTATAAAAAAGATATTCAAAATAATGTGATGAAACCATTTTCTATAGTAAAAAATCTCATTGAAATAAATTTTGATGTTTAAAATGGTAAATAAAATTTTTTTTCACATAACATTTTTAACATTTTCCGAATTAATTTTCAAAGAATAAAATATTATTTGAATTCACTTTCATTAAATTGAAAAAATCAAACATGTTTATATAAATATAATTTTATGCATATAAAACTCCAAAAAAAAAAAAAAGCCTTCCTTCTTTTGATCACAAATTTTTCAGACCCCAACATGAAACATGTTCAGTTAAGTGGTGTACAAAAAAGAAAACTAGCCAAACAGAAAGAACAAAATGTTTCATTAGTAACAGCCAAGACTAGAAAATTAATTAATTATTTTGTTCCAGTGCAACAACATGATCTTTCAGATACAGATCAAAACCAAGCCCTGTCTGAGAAAGAAGACATTTCCACAGTTCATTTGCTTGGTATTAGCCCTTCATTAACTTCAAGATCAGAATATCATGGTGACTCCAATGACAATGAAAAAAATCACAACTTTCACAAGCTGGTGCATATAGCATACTTGCTACTGATCTACCTGTTAACCTTCTTGATAAGTCTACTGCAAGCTTTTCTAATGTTGAAATAGTACCTGAAAATGAAATTTGTGATGACACAATTCAGTCTGCAGAATATAAAGAAGTAAATAAAGCAAAAGATTCAGGTCTATGAATTGATTTCTCAGCTGATGATGTGGCTTTATTGGGTTAATTGTGGGCCCACTGTCAGCACCATGATGATCCTTTTGCCAAATCTTGCTGGACTTTTGCTAGTGGAAAACCAACAAGATACTGTTCACAAAAACTCTTCTATAGAACAAAAGCAAATGGTAGGCAATACAAAAGTGAATGGTTATTTTATTCACCATCCACAGGATCAGTGTAGTGCTTTGTTTGTAAACCTTTTTGTGCCTAAATGTTCCCCACATATGGCTGACAAAGATGGCTTCAGTGATTGAAGAAATAACATTATAGTTGATTTAACTCATAGACAAGGCTTGGGTTTATGACAAAAGCTAGAAGACCAAATTAATAAAGAGTTTGTACTCTTTACTGGGAAAATGTTTTCAGGTGTGCAATAGCTGTTATTTGTACACTAGCTGAATGGGGTCTGGCTTTTAGAGGGACAAGTGAAAAATTTAGATCCCTACAAAATGGAAATTATTTAGGGTTGCTGGAGTTGATCAGTCAGCTTGTTGCATTTTTAGCAGCACATATTACGAAATCTGGAAATTCTGGAAAAGAAAACCTTTCTTACTTATCCAAAACTATCTGTTAAGAACTCATTGAAATTATGGCTCAAAAGGTCCACATGCTCATTATGGATGAAGGTTATTTCAGCTGATCTATCACATATAGATCAGTTAAGTGTTGTACTTAAATTCAGATGATAATAAACTATTTTAATGATTTTATTTGGCAAGAGAAAATAAAAGAAATACCTTGAAAATGCATTTATTTAAAATTTTGTTATGGAGTGATTTCACCGTGGAGGCTTGTATTTGTACTAAGTCGGTCCTAAAATAGGTTCGACGTACAAAACGTTAGGAACTTCATATAATAGGTATGATACAGAGTAATCTAGTTGTGGTCACTGATACTTTAGTATCCGACTAACGGTCGTCCGGCATCGACTGACTGACCGACCCACTGAGCGACTCCTCGTTACTCTTACTACTCCTACTTATTATAGGTGGGAGAGTCTATTAACTATAGAATAGTTGTGTTCCACTATAACAAATTTATAATTACCATTACTCATAGTTATGTGTTTATTTAAATCTTCTTTGTTCTTTTGTTCAAACATTTTTATAAAAAATTTTTTTGATAGTTATTGTTTTATAATATGGTAAATGATAAATATTTAATTGTACTTGGTTCATATATTTTTTTATAAACCTGTAAATATAAAATTATTCTTGTAAATGAACAATCTAATAAAATAGTACTTAATTCTTTTTTTGTTAATTCTTGAGAAAAATTGTTTGGGTCTTATTAAAATTTAAAAAATAGCTTTTTAAAACAATTAAAATTGCTGAGGGAATATACAGTAATAGTGGTGTCAAGAGAAAAACTATCCTTTGGACACACTATTTTTTGATTTATGAATGTTAAACTTTGCCATAAAAATATTGTAGAAGACAATGCCCCTTTGTATTTGGTGACAGTACTTATTTGTGCATTAATATATATATATATATATATATATATATATATATATATATATAGATATAAAGAAAGTATATGGAGAGACTTAGAACAAATAAATCAAGGAAATATAAAGATTTGAAATGGGTTTATATTATAAATTTATTATTTATTATCAAGGAAATATAAAGATTTGAAATGGGTTTATATTATAAATTTATATACATATAATATTTTAACTTTTAAAAGACTTTGAAAATACAAAATTAAATATTATAATTTACAACATGACAAAATAAGGTTAGTAACATTTGTTATCTGTGTGTATAAAACAATCTCCTGAATATTTTGATATTTAGTAAAATAATTATGAATAAACAATTGCAATACATGTCTGAAGTTAGAAGATTTGAATAACATTTTGATATATGACATGAATAGACAATGAAACTAGTCATGTAATTCTTCTTTCTAAATCAAACAGCTATAATCATTTTTTGAGAAATTAACGTTAATACTTTTTCCATATTGTATCAGATTTTAATATTTATCTTTTAAAATATTACATAGAATATTCAGTACTTTGCAAAAGCCACTTATTCTCCAATAACACCTTCAATTTCAGATTAAACAAATGGCTTACCAATGAATCGAAATATCCTTCGAATGATTTGTGGAACTCGACAGGCACCACATAAAATACTAATAGATCTCTGGGGTTCAGTACCAAAAGCCCACATTCCAATTTCACTAATGAGGATCTGAGAAAAGAGAAAAAAAATCATACTTTAAATTGTTTTTAGATTAAAATTCAAACCTACAAGCACTTACAATGATACAAGAATATTGCTTACAGCTACAGCTGTTTACCTCATGTATAAAATGATTTAGAAACAATCAATGTATAACCTTTACAGAACCTTTCAAATAGAACCCTTCCTTTCATCTATTTATTTTTGTTGTTCTAATTATTACTGGTGATCTTCTAAGAGATTGAACACTGTATGCTACTTTTGTAAAAAAACAAAACAAAAAAACCTTGAGCTTTTTCTGCAGGTGAATGTGTCCCATGAAGAGACCAACAAGTAATACTATTCAAACAATATAAAGTATTTTACAAAATATTGCAATATATGAAACAGAAACAATTATGGAAAATAACATCTTTAGGGATAGTGAAGAAGATATTTTGACTTCAGACACAAATGCAATACTTCAATCATAATAATAGAAACATTTTTATGCATTGACCAAGGCAATGCCTATTTTGGGCTTCAACCTGTCACAGATACATATGTATTCAAATAACAATGCTTACTTTTTCCTTTTTGTTCACAAAAGGTCATTTAGTATTTAGAACTTCATAATGAACATAACTATTCTTTTATTGTTTTTAAGATGATTAACTCTTACCTTTATCCCTGAAGATCTACTTATTTAAAAAAAAATGACCAACAGCCTGTTGGTCATTTCTTACACAGATCCAAAGCATGCTTGTACAAACAGTTCAATTAAATAATGTACAAAAGATCTTTGACAATGACCTTTTCCTATCACAATCATTATTTCCAGTCTGAGCCTTTCCACCCACATAGAATCAAATATTCCTACTACAATTAATTATTTCTCTAGATAATCACTGAAGACTAAATGCTTGCCAATTCAAAGTTAATCAGGAATAAAACTCAACTTGGGCTAAAACTAATTGAAGCTTTGTCAACTGATGAGTTCTTGTATTGGAAATAAGACATGCTGGGAATTTTGCAGCAACAAGGAGTTGGGGTTGTAGGATGATAAAGAGGCAAAAAGATACAATGTTTAATAGTTTCTGTTCTTGTTAAATTATGCATGATTTGCATAGTGATCAGATTGTGGAAAGACAAAGCACAACAAGAACAAAATGCATACTGAGATTTATTTTTTGTAAAAATAAAGAAAAATATTAAAAAAAGAAAAGGGTCAAATGTATCATTAAAAATTCCTGGTTATTCTTTTTTTTTAATAGCTTTATTATTGCTGTTGTTTTATTTCCTATATAGATTTTTCTTGTTTCTGGATTTAATGGCATCAAAAAATAGAATTTTATGAAATGAAGTGTACAGATTGCTAAAGAGTAAATGATAAAAATTGCAGATAGTAGAGAGGATATGCTGGAACCTAAAAATATGATATCTTATTGCAATAAGTGAGCAAAGTCATGAGTATTAACAGAAAAGCAAAAAGTGTAAGTGGAGAAAAGAAAAAAAGAATCAATAGGGAAGGAAAGCAAGAATAATAATGAAAGAAAGTAGAGGGAGTAAAACAAGTAGTATTTTGAAGTGAAGGGAAAGAAAAATACTAAGAAGAGTGGAGGAAAAATAGAAGAGAGAAATAAGAGGAGAGAAAGAAAGGAGAGGATGGAAAGAGGGAGAAAATAAAGATAGGAGAAGGAGGAGGAAAGGAAAAAGGATAATGAAGAGGGATTGTGGTAGATGTGAGAGCTAAACAAAGAAAACTAAAAAGAAAACAAAAAAGAAATGGGAAATAGAAATCCAAACACTTGGAAGGAAATAAATGAAAGAGAAAAAAAGAAAGAAAAAAGAAAGAGAAAAAAAGAATGAAAAGAAAGAAAAAGAAAAAGAAAAAAGAAAGAGAAAAAGAAAGAAAAAGAAATAAAGAAAAAGAGAAAGAAATAAAGAAAAAGAGAAAGAAATAAAGAAAAAGAGAAAGAAAAAGAGAAAGAAAGAAAAAGAGAAAGAAAGAAAAAAGAAAGAAAGAAAAAAGAAAGAAAAAAAGAAAGAAAGAAAGAAAGAAAGAAAGAAAGAAAAATCTGGCTTGTTAATGTGATTATTAAAATGTCAATCTGGGCAGCTGCATAGATACAATCAGTTTCTCATTAATGTACCCAATAACACTTATCTTATGAGTCAGGAGAAATTGGAATGAACTAGAGGTGGGGGATCACAATGACGCTATCATCATCATCATCATTATTGTTACTCCAACAATAACATTTTTCGTAAATGTATTGCAAGGTAAAATCATTATTATTATTTCTATCTTTGTAGAAAGAGCTATTTTAAGCAAAATGTTAATTGGTTAATATTACTTGTATCTGTTATATGAGTGATTGCAATATATAGAATAGAACAGGCTTATTGCTGGCTTGATGATTTTATTGTCAGTCAGAAGTTCAGGTATTTTCAAGGTGCTAACATTGGTAAGATTAAAAACATAGTCACATGCATAATACAAATACTGAAAAATTCTCAGCTCAACCCAAAGAGATTAAAAAAACAAAAATTCTGATATTTAATCATTTAATCAGATTTTGAAAAGTGTGAGAACTTTTTAGCACCCCTTTGTATATTTATAACTGACACATGAATAATTACACCTGGTAGGCAGCTGATTGATCTTTATAAAGTAATTTTTCAACATTATTTGAAAATATTTAAAAATCTTTTGAGAACTTTCTTATGAGAGGAGAAAATCTTTACAAAAATTGACAAAATTTCTCTAAAATTTCATAGAAGAAAAAAATAAAAAATAAAATGGATATATCATATACATATATATATATTTTTTTTTTGGACCAACCCATAGATAATTTTTTTTTTTTAGGAGTAACTTTTTTAAATAAATTTACAATTCTTTTTTTTTTTTTTTAAATTCAAAATGTAAATATCTGGAACCATTCATTTTGAGAAATTTTAGTTATTTCTTTTAGTTTTATAAACAAATTCCTTACAGTAATTCTAATTGGGGGGCGGGGTTTAACTTATTTTATCTAAAATTTACAATATTTTTTTTTTTTTTTTAAAAGAGTATTTAACATGTAAATAGCTTGATTAATTTATTTTTAAGCGATTTTAGTTAAATGTTTTTCTCTTTAGTAATAAAGTTAAAAATAGTCTAAGTCATTTTAATCACTCTATTGTAAATGTTTTATTCATTAAGTGTAGTTTAGAAAAGAAAAAAGAAAATAAGAATAAAAAAAAAAAAAAAGAAAAGAAAGACCAAACAAATAAGTTATTTTATAGAAGTTAAAAGGGATGGTAGAAAAGAACAAGTTTAAAAGAACAAGCCAATATAATAAATCGTTCATTTTTTTGTTTGTATATATATATATATATATATATTTTTTTGTGTGTATATATATATATATATATATATATATATATATATATATATGTGTATATTTATTGGTTTGTTTTTCTTCTATTCTTCAAAAAAAAAAAAAACCTTTTCTTGGGATTTAGGAAGATCAATACAACCATGCATACCTAATCTATAACTTTGAATAAAACAAGAAGAAAAGTCTTGATTGGTTGTTGTTTACTGGGGCAACTTATATAATTCACGTCCCTAAAGCTAAATGAGAATTTTTGTTCTAGAACATTTTTTTACTGATCATATTATATCGTGTTTTATGAAGAAGTCTGTTGTTTATTTAGACCAAACTTCTAGTGACATGGGAAAAACAAATCTGATGACGCATCTAGATTCAACACTTAAAGGTGTATTTTAATAATAATAATATATATATTGTTACAAACCCCCATCTAAATTTATTATAAAAACTATATCATCGTTTATATTTTAGAAGCACTGTAAAATAAAGAGCCCAGTACTTGCAGAAACGTAAAGATAGTAAACCCAAAGAGATAGGTAGACTTAGTGGCGACAAAGATTAACCAGAATGTACCCTTCCTTTCATTTTTGGCCAACGTGTTGACAGCATAATTTACATGGATAGATTCCAGACAGGAAAAGTTGAAACATTTTAAACTAAACTTTCTCTTACCCTGCATTTCACCCACAATGAAAAAAAAATTGTATTTGAAAATTGACCACGTGACAAGGAAAGAAAGGAAACGAATAGAGAAACAAAAAAAGTCAGTCTTGTCCAGGCCTTTATTCAGAATCCAGACAAATTTATAAAAATACAAGTTTTTTGTCCGATTTTAAAAAGATGACGGACGTGTTTTTAAAATATGAGAAAGAGAATCCATCTTCGAATGGAATAGGTGAATCTGTTTGCTATGAAAGCAAAAGTTTTGGTTGGCTATGCAGAAGTCCCTCTTCGAATATCGAATGGACAGCGAATGAAATACTCGTGTGGAAATAAAAAGAAATGTTGACCTTTTTGGGAAATAAAACGATAACATATGGAATATCACATTGATCCAAATCGGGACAAAAGAGAGATAGAAGACATCTTTGATTTGTCTGTCACCCAAGTCCTGAGACCAGTCGCTAATAGAAAAAGAAAAGGAAAGAAAGGAAGAAAAGATCTCAAATTGAGAAAGAAAAACTAAAACACCGAGATGATGAAAAAGGAGAAAAGGAAAACAGTTTATCTGAAAAAATTGCCCCTAGACAGGGCTTTGAAAAGAAAAAGCCTATTTCAACCGTTTAGAAAAAATAGTAAAAATTTAGGCATTAGTGGAAAAAAGAACTTTTATTATAGGTTTAATTTTTTTCTTGTGCTTCGTTTTTTGTTTGAATGTAATTCTTTTTCATGTTTGTACTTTTCATGCAAGTCTGGCATGAGATCCTTTTTATTACAAATTTTCTTTCTACTTGTCTTAAAATTTTGAATATTTGTAAATTCAAATTAAAATATACAATGGACCATACCTTTTTTTGTTTTTTAGAAGAAGAGGATGTTCCCCTCCCACTATATTGTCTACAATGTTTAAATGTTTATTCTTGACACATTGTCATCTTTGTTTTGGCAGTTTTTCTTTTTCTTCCTCATGTTTTTACGTTTGTTAATAAATCTATATTTCCCTGTCTCCATTGTTGTTTGTTGCCTATCGTGTTTGTTCCTTAATAGATTCCCACTCAGCCGTGTCTGATCATTCGGAAAGAGACCCTTGGGAAAGAAATATATTTTACAAAAATTGAGTAAATGTAAATGTTAAAAAAAAAAAAAAAAACATATTAAAATCCCCTCGACCTCCAATATATCAGATAGGGTTGGAGGAAGGGGATTTTTCTAAAATATATATATCATATTTATGATATATATCATATTGAAAATGTATGTAGTTGGAAGTTTTTGTTGCCTTTATTATGTGTAATCCAATGTAACATGTAGCAGCATTCTACACATGTTGAATAAACATCAAAATATGCATTATATGTAATGGGACTGAAAGGTACAAGAGAATTATGCCTGTCATGATGAAAATAGTAATCACTTATTGAAATATACATTAAATTTAGTGCATTACAAGATACAAATCTACACTTGACTGGAAATCATTTCTTTATAATTAACTTTTATAATTTGACTCAAGTTGACAATACCTAACTTCCCTATCCAGATAGCACATACATTATCTATACTCATATATAGTAGAATTTGTAAAAGATTTCCAAGCAACAACTACTGAGTTTCTTCCCCATTGAGTGTTCCATTAATCTAGAATAATCAAATCTCATTTTACTTATTTATTCATTTAATTATTCAATGTTTTTAAATAATTAAGAAACATACCACAAATGGTGGAACACAGACGCTCAAAGAATAAATGGCTTCATCAGAGACTTCAGCTTGAAATGCAAAGTCTAAGAATGGACTTTCCTTTGCTGAGTGAGACAGTTCAGGGTCCAAACAAGAGAAGTTGCTGCGCCGCATAGGGAATACATTGGTCCACCTGGAGAAAAAGAAAAATTATTGTATCTTTAGAAATTTTCAGTTTTTTTTATTTCATTTATTTATTTTTTGGGGATTCAAAGTTTTCATAATAACTTATTTATTTGATAAAAAGTTTGGTTGACTTTTGTATATGTATTTGCATCACAAGCATTTCTGCCTGTAATCAGAGTGTAGTATATGTACATATAGAAATCTTATATTATAAAATAGAAGATATAAATTATGCAGATTATGTTTTTCAAAAGTTTTAAACAACAGTAGCTGTTTTCCTCTAAGGAAACATTTGGCATTCATTGACTCAGCATCCAGTTCTGTTTTTAGTTGTAATTTATAAAATCTTTCTCTTAAAATTTTTTTTATATATATATATATATTTTTTTTTTCTCAAGTCCAGTAAGGTTATCATGCTTTTGTTTATTGATGGGTGTTTCCAGAAAACCTTTTATTTGAATTAGTGTGGAATGTTAACATCTTGATTATGTCATTGTTTTCAACTTGAGATTCCATTGATCCATTTTAGTTGAATAGCTGGAGAGTATCAAATGATGTGATTTCTGTTATTTGATAGTTATTTTTTTGTGAATCTGTAGCACCAGTCCACAATAACAGATTTAGGTAGAAATAAATTTCTTTTTTTAATGTTAGGAAAAATAAGGGGTGATAATTGGATTCCAGCCTCAAACAAAAGCAATGAACTACATCAATAGTTGGAATCAGCGAATGGTTATAATATGAGCAATTTCCATGAAAGTATTTGGGAACAGACAGAGAAACTCAGTTTCCCATATTATGTGTGTGACAGTGTGTGTGTGTGTGTGTGTGTGTATCCCCACCATGGCCTCTCTTTCTGTCTTTTTTTTTTTTTTTTTTTTTAAGAAGGGGCACCCCACCATATATGGCAGCAATACTAGGATGCAAGGGCGAATTGAAAATTTGGAGAAGATCAGATAGATTAGAGGAAAAAATGAGGAGAAGGATAATGGATAGATCAAGGCAACTGGAGATGTCAATTGACATTACATTTGAATAGCTGTATTTATTCCATCTCAGGTCAACTGGAATAGGGAAGGGAGTTCCACAGGCGAGAGGTGTGAGACAGACATTCTATTGGAGGGAAGAGAAGGATCTACATTTGATTAATTTTGACAGTTTTGTTTTGAGGCGGGATTGCCAGCCTCGTAGGGTGCTTGAACTTCATGACGTCTTGGAACCTTTTTCGAGACAGCTCCTCCAGGTTAGTTTTGTCAGTGAAAGTATTTGTTTTTTGAGACAGGAGAAATTGTGGTGTCATCCGCGTCTGTGCCAACTTGGGAATTTATGGCGTCAGGAAGGTGAGATGAAATAAGGAATAGAGTGGGGCCTAGGATGGAGCCTTGAGGAACACCTGCGTTCGTGGGATAGGAACTGGAGGAGAATCCGTTGAGAACGACCTTCAATTCACGGTTTGACAGGAATGATTGTATTAGGTCAAACAATCGACCCGTAATGCCATAACCCTGGAGCTTGCGAAGAAGGCCGGCATGCCAAACCATATCAAATGCTTTGGAGATCTCTTGGACCACGGCACGAGCTTCCCCGTTATTTTGAAGAGCTTGATAGACAGTTTCAGTGATGGCTGTAAGCACATCAGCTGTAAATCTGGCAAAGCGGAAGCCATATTGCTTGTCTGAGAGCAGATCATGGGATGTGAGGTGGTTAACCACCTCGGTATTGATTAGGGCTTCGAAGACTTTGCCGAAGAGGGGTAGGAGACTGATAGGACGGTAGTTAGAAGGGTCAGAGGGGTCGCCAGAGTTCTTGAAGACAGGAACAATCGAAGAGGACTTCCAGCAGTCAGGAAAACAAGATTCCTTGAGGCAGTAGTTGTATAGTTTAGAAAGGGCGGGCGCCAGTTCAGGCGCGCATTTCTTCAAGACAATGGCTGGTATCCCATCTCCACCACTAGCCTTGTTGGGGTCTAAATTGGAGATAATGCCCAATACCAAAGACGGGGTTATGTGTAACCCACTCAATAGGGCCTCAGTTCTAAGAGGGAAGTCGGGTATGAGTACACCGGAAGAGTCGAGCGTTGAGTTGAATGAAAATTTCCGAGCAAAGCATTCAGCCTTGTCGGTAGAGGAGGTCAGGACTTCGAACTGGTTGAACAAAGGAGGTATAGAGGGTTTGCAATTGTTCAATACGCTCTTGCAGAGACGCCAATAATCTTTGGAGCCAAATTTGCGAGATGCAATACGCTCCTTCATCCGAGCAGCAAATAGTGACTTAGCATCGTTGAGGACACGCTTACACTCGTTACGGGCGGAGGCAAAGAGATGTCTATTGCAGTCAGACATGTCGCTACGGAATAGGTGAAAGAAGTGGTTCCTATGGGCGATGGCGGCTGAGCAAGCAGCGGAGAACCAAGGGGAGGAGCACGACTTGACCCTATATTTCCTTGAGGGGATGAAAGCGTCGATTTCAGCTTTAACCCAGGATGAGACCTCAGAAGCACATTCTTGGACAGGGAGTGTAAAGACAACATCCCAGGGGACATCGTGGAGAAAATCACGGAATGAGTCCCAGTCAGCTTGTTGATAGTAGAACGAAGTTCTAGTGGTAGGAAGGTTCTTTGCAGGGGGTGGAGTTGAAGGAGATGTTAACAGATACTACCGCATGATCAGAGTTACCAAGAGGGCAGAGTTGCGTAGCGCTACAAGACTTGGGGATGGAAGTAAAACACGGATCGAGAAGAGAGGCTTTACCTTCCCGGCTGAAGGCAAAATGAGTGGGGAAGTTAACTATCTGCGTGAGGGATTGAGAGACTGAAAAATTAAGCGTTTGAATGCCTGCATGGTCAGTAGTAGCATTCTTAAGCCACATGGTATGATGGGCGTTAAAGTCATCAAACACAAATATGTGAGCAAAAAAGAAAAATGGGTGGAGAGAGAAGCCTTGTCTATGCTGTCAGAAATGCTATCGAGTATCCCACAGTCATGAGAGGATGAAGAGCGGTAAAGGAAGAAGAGATATCTTACCGCATTGAGAAGAGATAGTCGGAGACACATGTATGACTGGTCTGGCGATTCGAGAGACAACTCTCTGGCCAGAGGGAGATGGTCGTTGACGTAGACACCAAGTCCGTGCATGTGGGATAGAGAGTCTTTTCTGAGGAGAGGAAGGTAGCCTGGAATCGAGGGATCAGAGGAGAGGATAGACGAGACAAAGTTGGTCTCACAGAGAGCCAGTATATCCGGGCAGTTTGCAGTGAGGAAAGATTCCATACTGCAGAAGTTCTAATGCCACGGATGTTGGAGAACGAAATGTTGAGGGTTTAGGTGATTTTTTGAGTGGCTGGTTTAGGATTAATTTTTTGGTTTTTTTAAGTCATGTGGTTGGATTTATTTTGGAAGATGAGAAGGCCCTAAGTAAAAAGCAGACAGTTATCGACCGTGACGTGGACAGAGAGGAGTTGGCAAACCTGCATCATAATGTGGCCTCAGGGTTTGCCCACCGGAGGTGACTGCATTTGTTTCCATGCGCGACATGGCACTACAAACACCCCGGTATTATACAACTGTTGATCAGAGCAAAAAATCCAACGCTACATAAGAGTTAGGGCTCCTAACTACCAGTCGGAAACAGCAACCAGAGAACTGTCAACCATATACCCTCAGAATGAAGAGGCAATGCCACAGACTGCACACATCACGGGAGAAACAGAGCTGCACTAATACAGAGGAGAGAGAGAGAGTACCGTGAACCCCTTCCTAAACAAGAAACAAGGTGTAAGCCTCTACTTATTTGTCATATATATAAAAAATTCAGATACAATTTAAAAATATATCTGTAAAAAGATAATATGAATAAAACAAAAGGAAAATTTATCTTAGATGAAGCGTTTAAGCCTCTGATGAACTAACTTATTTTAACCAATGTTTCATCCTTTGATGGACTTTTTTAATTAATATCTTCCCCTTTTATTCTAAAAATCATAAATAAATACATAAAACAATATGTTTTATGTCTTATTTTCATCATATATATATATATATATATATATATTTTAACATTTTTTAGTCATATATATATATATATATATATATATATAATAAGAAACAGAAATTAGTCTTACTTAGCTTTTTATTACAGTTTACTTATTTTTGTTTCATAAAAAAAAATTTTTTTAAAATTTTATCAGATATGAAACCTTAAATTTTAGAATATTAAAATCAAATATCCTATAGATGTAAATTTGAAATAATTAAACAGATAAAAGAAGGTTTTATGCAATATTGTCACACTAATTTTTTTTTTGTTTTTAATGCACTTCTGCAGGAAAACTTGCAAAGTATTTAATATCTAAAACTTTGAAGCAGATAAAGACCACTATCAAAAATGGTCTTCTCATTATAAAGTCTCCAGATGGACTCCTTGTAATAGTTTAATCACTGTATCTTATAACTCAAGGATTCATTTATGTTTCATACCATACAAACATATTTACAGAAGACATACTTTTAACATTCTTATTAAAAAACAAAAAAAACATTAATCATATAGTAACAAGTTGTTTTAATGATCTATGAAATGTGAATTTCTTTCATTTTATTTATTTTTAAAAAATTTAATGCCAAAGAAAGGTTTTCTAAATAAATACAAATTATTATATTCATATTTTTAATCTCTCTAATTCAATCCTTTTATAAATTTAATTTGTCAAATTATTTGAATTTGGTGTTAAAACATTTTCTGTGTATTCCAAAATGACAAAAATAAAAAATTAAATATTTTAAAAGTCATTGGTTGTTTTATTGAATTTTTTTTAATTGCACCTTGTGTAAAACCTATCAAGATAAGAAAACACTTACCTCAAGAAATAGGCCAAGGTAGCTATTATTCCAAGGATTATCAGTTCCAGCACAAAAGTGATGACAATGAGAACATTAGGCCTTGACCTTAGAATTTTAATTGTTAAATTTTTTATATTATATATCTTGGATGCCTAAAACAAATTATCTTCCATGGGAATGTTTTACTGTTTACAGGATTTTTTATTTGGATATGGCATCTTATTTCACATCTGCAAAAAAGAAAAAGAGAAAATATGAAAGATAAAAGTTCTAAAATCAAAGTAATATGTTTCATTCATTTACATTAAAACCTTTAATGAATTTATATCCTGACTTGCCATGGTTGAGATGATTTGACTTGAATGGGAAAGTAATATAATTATGGAAGAGTGGTTTGCCTATGTAGTCACTCAACCATTTCTCTGTCAATCATTGTGACATGCCAGTGATGAGACTCTTTGTAAACATTATTAATTTAATAAAACACATTTTTTTTTTCATTTTTAGTTTAAAATAGTAAAACCACATTTTTTTATATATTATACTTAAAACATTCTAATAAATAAAAGACAAACATATCAAAATCCACTAAGTTCATTCATTTAACATCAACAATTTTTTATGTATATTTCTTATATGAATCCAAACATATTGAATTGCATGTTCTATCTGTATTATCTATTTGTAAAAATTTTATTTAATTTAAATTTGACCCATTTTATTTTTCTTGTGACCCACTGAGGGTTTGGGATCCACAATTTGAAAATCCCTTCTCTAGGACAACACAATAAAATATAAAATGAAATAAATATATATTTATATAAAGAGATGAACTCAATATAAAATAATATGTCGATAAATTAAAATTTCTTTCGAGAAAAGGATAAATTATTTGATACTAGTTTGTTTAAATTTTTTATGGTAAAATAAAAAAATAATTACTGAAAAAAAAAACAATTTTTTTTTTTACAAAATAATTTTGTTCTTTAGCTTTCAATTGGTTGTTATTTTTTTAATGTGTAGCAAAGTAAATAAAGTTTTATATTGGAATAATTTCAGACCAAAGACAAACTTGCTAAATTATTGTTTCAAAGGGAAAAGAGGGAAGGAAAAGAAAAAGAAATGGACATTAGACATAAAACAAGAAAGGAAATGGATAGAGAGATGAAAAAAAGGAAATGGATAGAGAGATGAAAGGAAGAAGATAGGACAAAGTGTTTACATTGATACAACTATACTTATACATAAAGGAGATGGGATGCTGAGATTTTATGCATTTAAATTAAAATTCAGCAAGCGTGATAACAGAAAATCTGCCAATAAACGTGAAATATTGTAAGAACCTGGACACAAATTTACTGTGGGTGATCTAAAATTAAATATGGAAAAACCCCTATACACTTTCATCTTAAAATAAATTAATTTTTCGTTTAATTAAAGTAAAATTTTTAAAATTAAAATTATGATTATACTCATTACAGTGAGCAACTAATGCATTTAAATTTTGTTTTGTAAAAGATCCTTTAGTATTCATATAATCCTTTATTTAAATTCTTGAGGTTTCTCCTATGTATTCTTTGTGGCAATTATTACAGGTGATAATTAGTAAATTCCTCTTTCAAATTTTTAGCTCATTATTTTGTTTTTGTATTAAATTAAGTCTTTTATTGTTTCAAGAAGTTGTAACAAATTTTATGTTAAGCTAAGATAAATTCTTTTCAGTTGTAATTGAAGTAGAGTTGGTAGGTAGAATATAATTTTGATTTTTTGGGGTTTGTCAGAATGAACCACTTTTTTATTTTGAAATATTTTATGAGCTTTTTTTTTCATACTGAATATAAAATAATTAGGGTATTGGAGGAGTTTAAAAGTATTTTCAATGTATTTCTCCTCTTCACATAAATAGTAAGGGCTACAAATTCTGAGTGCTCTTAAATAGAATCCTATAGTTATTTTGGATTTTATTATGGTGAAAATAGAAATTTGTAAGGTCATTTTTATTAGTTGATTTGTGATTTTCTAGGCTAGTGTCAGTATGGTGTAACATCATATCTAGGAAAGGTAATTTGTTTCTGTTTTGAAAGTGAATGTTATTATATGCCTGATTTTTAGTTTATCTACAAGGTCAAGTAATGTAGTTTTTTGGTATATATTGGAAATATGTTGATTGTTTAGGTAAAATATTTTGGAAGAAACCAGATTCAATAGATTCTAAGAAGATACATGCTAAGACTCCACTTAGAGGTGAAACCATTGGTAATCCAAATTTTTGTTTACAAAAATTATTGTTAAAAGGTGAAATAACATTGATCGTTGATGAGTTGGCAGATTTTTTATGATTTTAGCTATTGGTAGGGAGAGGTTTATTTTTGATTGTGTTAGATGCTTTTTTAAAAGAATTAAGCATTTGTTAACAGGAAAATTGAAATATTTTTTTTATCTACTTGAGAAACTTGGGGAAAAAAACCCTTTCACTTTAGTGTCTTCATTGGGACAAGTCATGACCTAGAACATCAATAATTTCATATCCTATCCTTACAGGAAACAGACTTAGAAAAAAATGTCACTATCACAAATAGTAACTATAAAAGAATGAATAGATAACTTCATAAAAGTGAAAAAAAGAATTCCTAGAATAGCAGGAAATGAGACAAACTTCAACTAAAGAGAAGAAAAAAGAAACCAATTTTGATAGATAAAATAGAAAAAGAGGTTTTATATATCTTTTAGTCTGGCAGAAGACTATAAATATGGAGAGACTCAATGAGGATTTAACACACTACATAGTGGAAATAATCGCAGACTATGTTGATAATCATTATCCCATAATGGAAATGATGATTCATCCTTATATATATATATATATATATATATATATATATACATACATACATACATATATATATATATATATAATTTGTTCAGTGTTGACAAGTCGCTTGAATCACCTAATTTTTAAAAACCTGGATGTACAGTTGAATCAGGACCCACATTTTTTTTTTGCATGTAGGCATCTAGTCATCATTTCAGTTTTTTTTTTAAACATTTGACGAGAGGTGGAGGAATATTACTATACTTTTATACATTACTATACTATTACTTTTTTTTTTTAAATCCCAATCATATTTAGACAGGACTGTATTGCTTTTGTACTTGTTTAAATTTAGCAAAGACCATTCATTAATCATATACATATATGTATATCATACATCTAGTGCTGGTGTTAATAAAACAGTGCTTGATGTAATATAACAGAGCTATTAAGTATATATTAATAAATATTAATATATTTTATAATCAAAATTATGATTATACTCATTACAGTGAGCAACTAATGCATTTAGCGTTTTGTTTTGTAAAAGATCCCCTTAGTATTCATATAATCCTTTATTTAAATTCTTGAGGTTTCTCCTATGTATTCTTTGTGGCAATTATTACAGGTGATAGAGTAAATTCCTCTTTCAAATTTTAGCTCATTATTTTGTTTTGTATTAATTAAGTCTTTTATTGTTTCAGAAGTAGTTGTAACAAATTTTATGTTAAGCTAAGATAAATTCTTTTCAGTTGTAATTGAAGTAGAGTTGGTAGGTAGAATATAATTTTGATTTTTTGGGGTTTGTCAGAATGAACCACTTTTCTATTTTGAAATATTTTATGAGCTTTTTTTTTCATACTGAATATAAAATAATTAGGGTATTGGAGGAGTTTAAAAGTATTTTCAATGTATTTCTCCTCTTCACATAAATAGTAAGGGCTACAAATTCTGAGTGCTCTTAAATATTTTGATAAATATAAATAATATTTTTTAATTTTAAAAATTATATTTGGCAATGAAAATAAGCGGTATTTTGAATATCCATTTTTTAAGTTTTTAAAATTTTTTAATTAAAACGGAGATTACTTGTTCTTATTCAAAAAAACAAAAACAAATTTATATTGAATAGTAATTTACATAAAAATAAAGTATAATTTACTGACATTTATTGACCTTTCAAAAAGCACTCCTCATCTAATTACTCACATGCTGTTCTTAAGGAGGTCAAAAAAAAAAAAAAAAAAAAAATCACCAAACTCTTAAAATTGCAACATAAGTGGCAGAACTGAAAAAGTGATTACCCATGTGAATTATATATATATATATCAACTCATATTGTTTTCATATTATAGAACAGGTATTTATAGAACTGGATTTAACTAATTTTTCATGTGAGTGGAAGATGTTTATCATGAAAAACAAAAAAATTGTTTAAACTGTTGGGCATCATAACATCTCATTAGGTTGATGGGCTCATGTAAGTCAAGAAAACCAAAGATTACTTCAATGATTTCAAATGTTCATAAGTTTTAAAGAAAATCAATTTGATTCAATATAAACATTTATGCCTTCAAAAAGAGCATCTGAAAGAAATTGATACCTTTATTCCTCACCCAAACAATACACAAACATACAGTGTGTGTGTCTCTCTCTCTCTTTATATATATATATATATATATATATATATATATATGCCTAAACCAACCCCCATCAGAATTTTCTTGTGAGGCACAGCAGGATTAAAAGTAAAATGTCTCAAAAAGTGGGTGAATTCTTTATGGAATCAACAGTCATCTGGCACATGTAGAAACATCTAGACTGTTTATCCAAGTATGCAGTAAGCCCACTAGGAGTGTTGAACACTTCAAAGTCTTCAACTAGAAGAAAAAGTCTTATGTAACACTTGCAACTTGATGTTGACCAGTTCTTCTTTTTAGGTTCAGATTGTTTTTCTCAATGAGAAATTTTAAGAAAATACATGCCATCACTTCACTAAGAGGTGATCCTATTGATAATCCAAATTTTTGCTTACAAAAATTATTTTTAAATGTGAAATACCATTAATTGGGGATGAGACAGCAGAATTTTATTATTTTAGCTGTTGGTAGGAAGAGGTTCTAGAGAAAATGGAAACAAAAAGGAAACTTATATTTAACATCAGTGTAAAGTGCAGAAGACGTCTGCTGGACATGCTTCTGAGCAATACTGAAAAACGCAGATGGCCGCCTCCTTCTCACTTGTATTTATACACTCCAAGGGCAGATAACTCTGTTAACATCTATACATGCCCCTCCACCACTGTGACCATGGGATGAATTAACGTGATCACCTTTGGATGCGTCTGAGAATCTGTGTGATTTTCCCCGTATTTGTGGGGACAGACTCCTCGGCGCTTGTTTTCTGTGACATGAGGGT